CCCATCCCATCCCATCCCATCCCAGTCCCGTCCCCTGCTCGCCCCTGGTCCATACGTTTTCCACCGCCCTTGAGCAGGCTGCCCAGGCTGACGGAGGCGGCGCCCAGCAGCTCGTTCCTCAGCGTGTGACAGATCCACACCTTCAGCTCCAAGTGGCTCTGAGCCGTGACATTCCTGCAGAGACCAGGGAAGAGGATTGTCACTGTGGCCTCATGCCTGCTCCRTGCCCGGGGAGAGGGCAGTGCCAAAGGCAAGGGGCAGAGGAAGGTGCACAAGGACAGGGGGCAATGGGAGACCCCCCTTCCCTCTCCCTCCCAGCCTGGCTGTCTCTGGCAGTGTCCTCATGGAAGGGGCAAAGCTCTGTGACACCTGAGTGTCCCCAGCCAATGGCAGGGTGGGGCACACACGGCCAGAGGTCACACGGACTCACAGGGTGAGGCTCTCGTTCCACAGCAGCTCAGAGATGCCCATCTGCTTTCCTGTCTTCTTGGTCTCGCTGGGCAGCCCGTCACCGGCCACCTCCACGTAGCAGTTCATCCGTGCCGTGCGGCTCTGGGCCTTGGGCTTCACTGACACCACTGGCAGGGACAGGCACGGGGTCAGGAAGGCACGAGACACCCTGTCCCCAGCCCTTGTCCCCAGCCCTTGTCCCTGGTCCTCGTCCCCCACCCCACCCCTGACAGCTCGGGATGCCACAACTCACAGCAGAGCGCTGGGAGAGGGGCACTGGGGAGCAATGCTGCTGGTGGCAGCGATGGCTGGCACCAAGCCCTGCCCGTGCCTGTCCCCAGCTTCACCCCTCCAAGGGYTGCAGAACTGTCACTGTCCCCASGGACACCTCCCTACCCCGGGGCGTGGGGACAAGGTGGGACGGGGCACCCCCAGGCCAGCAGTGCCCACAGAGGGGCAGAGCTGGGCAGAGCTGGGGCCGCGGCTCCGAGCACCGGGAGCCATCTCGTGGCCACGGGAGCACCGGCACGGCCCTGCAGGGCCAGGAGCCACGTCCCCCGCCTGGGGGAGGCAGCTGAGCCCAGCCTGTGGCACACAGGACAGCCCCGCTGTCCCCGGGAAGGKTCCCAGCCCGGGGCGCAGGCAGAGMACACCCAACATGCCAATCCCGGCAGTCAGTGACACGCACCTTTCACGGAGAGCGGGGATTTCTCGCAGGGCGGCCCAGCCCTGGCCCTGCTGGAGCTGGCAGCGGCCATGGCATCACCCCCGGCTGGAAGCAGAGAGAAGAGACACCTCAGCACCACTGATACAGCACCCAGGGAGCCCAAACACAGCCTGGATGCTGCTGAGAGTGCCTGGCATGGGCAGGGACAAGGAGCAAGCGCCGGGCAACCCAAAAAACACAGGCTCCCTGTCCTGATAAAGCAGCACTGGGTCTCTGGGACAGAAACCCCCTGCACAGCACTGCCACCAGCCCAGGTGGCCAGTGCCACCTCTGGACACCCCTCTGGGCACCTGAAGGTCCCCTGACCCACAGGTCAGTGCTGACAGGGGGACAAGCCACCAAAGCCTTGTCCTGAGGGACACCCACTCACACACCAGCAAGATGGCAAGGACACGGCAGGGGCACAGGCTGGGCAGAGGAAGGTCCAGTCACAGCACAGGAGGTGGCTGTATCCTCAAGGGCAGCCCTGCTCTCATCCTGGTACCAAATCCCACAGCAACATGGAGACTGGGAAAGGCCCCCGAGACCATCATGTCACCCCTGGCAGGGAAGGACAGGTTGTGACACTGGGGAGGGTGGCAGCAGGACACGTGGCCAGGCCCTCTGCCCACACCAGTGACCACAGAGCGSAGGGATGAGGTCACACATCACACAGGAGCACGAGATGCTGTGTCTGGGACCAGAGTCAGCCGTGGGGTCACTCCAGCCTCCTGCCYGCCATTCCCAGGAGCTGGAGAGGACGGGGGCCAAGGTCACAGCCCAGCACMCAAGCCAAGAACTTCCCAAGAACTGCCCAGCTGGGACCAGGGCACTGCCAGCCTCCCCCTCCCCTGAASAGGTGAAGCAGGAAAAGGGGGGAAGCAGCTCCAGACTTCTCTCTGTGCAGGAGTCTCTGCTCTCTCTCCACATYCTCCTCAAACTCCATTCCCATGGCAGATCCCTGTAAAATCCCCTCTCCCAGGGTCTCCACTCTCCATGCCAGCACAGCAAATGTGCCTGGCACCGCAGGGCCTGGCTGTGCCTGGTACAGCCCCACCTGTGCCTGGAAATGCCCATTTGGCAGTGCCCGACCACTGTCCTGGCTCCATCCAGCAGTGTCGGGGCTCCAGGACACATCCCAGCCTGCTGGCCCTCACCAGACTCACTGTAACACAGCTACTCCCACTCCAACTATCCCACAGATCACCCCCACCTTCCCGAGAACCGAATATTCCTCCTGTCTGCTGTGACTCCCCAGCTCCACATCACCGGGATCCCATCCTGTCCATGCCCCTCCTGTGCCAGCCCGTGCCCTGCCCCGTCCCGGCTGGGCTGTCTCCGTCCTTCTTTCAAATCCTGACTCTTTTCCCCGTGTTTTTCTTTTCCTGACACCACACCATTCCTCTATCACTCTCTCTGACACCCCGGCCACGCCAAACACCTCTGGCCCCCCACAACCCCTCGTTGCCCGGCGCCCGTCCCCGGGCACAGCGCTCCTGTCCCGGTGCGCACAGCGGCCCCTCAGCCCAGCGGCGCCGTCACCGGCCCGGCCCGGGGCGCTCTCGCACCCTGCACACGGCAGGACATCCCCGGCAGGGCCGAGGCCTTCCCTCCCTCCCCGGCTCCCCGTTCCCAACAGCCCGGCCGAGCCTCCCGGGTCACCCGCGGGGCCGTGAACACCGAACCYTGCCCGGGACCGGCCGGTCCGGCCCTCAGCCCCGCACACAACCGGGCCGGGCGCTGCGGGCACCGCGCTCAGGAGGCCAAG